GCTGGTGCTGATCATCTTTACATAGGTTACTTGTTAATCGAATACATCTAGTGGAGCCTGCGCGGCAGCAGCGGATTCTGGCGTACCTCGTCGACACGATTGCGGTGGATCTGGAATGACGGTGTCACCCATTTGCCGCACGAGCACTGCGCACCCGCCCAGTTGAACGCGCCCAGCTTCGCGTCGCACTTTGGGCAGCACACCTTGTTCTCCACCAGTCCGGTGTCCACACCCTCCATCCACGCCATCGGCTCGACAAACAGCGACGAGCAGCGCGGTTCTGCGGGAACGCATGCGGCGTATCCATCCCACTCGCATTACGCTTGTTCCATGAAAACGCAACCTGCCCAGGACCCGGCTGGTGCTCCAGCACATTTGCCTCGGTCACCAACGGCCGACGACACTTTTTGCACCGCCACTGCCGCTGCGCCGGCATCGGCTGCGCCAGCGGATCAGCCCCCAGCTCTACGTGCTCAACAGACCCGTACTCCCTAAAGTGCTCGGCACTGTGGTTGATCAAGAACCGCGATACAGCGGCTTTGACGGTGTCACTCGTACCGCAGATCGTGGTACAGCTCCAGCTGGTCCATGAAGCCTGGATTCGGATGCACCTGCGGCCGCCTGGCCTTCATCGCCTCTAGCGCTTCATCCCGCCCCACATCGTCTTTCTGCATGATGTACGCCAGCGCCACTGTAGCGCTGCGCGACTGCCCCGCAGGCAGTGCACCAGAATCTGTCCCCCTGATGAAATCGCATCCTTAATGTACTCGTTGCACTCGGGAAGTACTGGATAATGTTTCCTGCTCCATGTCTTCGATGGAAATGCTCTTGTATGTGAACTGGTTCGGGGTACGAGGGCGTGTAGTTGGACGCGACTGTCAGGATATGTGTGATGCCGTGCTCCTGCAGCTTTGCGCGGTCGCTCTCTGCCATGGCGCTGCCCACAAACAGCCCGTCGATGATCTTGTCCATAGTGTGCTGTATTACAAACCCTTGATGCCCGTTCATTAAAAGGATGAATTGCAAAGAAATTCAAAGAAAAGCATTGAGCAGCTCGAGAGCCGAGCAGCCAAAAAAAAAAACCTATGTCTGGAGTTTTGCCACCAAAAGACTAAGCGCACAATTGATTTGATCGTGAATTAAACCAGGGTACATGCACAGCTGCTCTCGCCATGTCGCCTCGTCCGGCTAGCCGGTAACAAGGCAATTCTGGCGCCCTGCAGCTGGGCCCAAGACTGGTTTGGTCCCACCGGGGACAAAATGTGGTTTTCTACGAAGCTCTTATCTAAGGGCTAGGAGTGAGTATATTCAGCTTCATCATCAGAGCTCGATATGCACCTCGTTGATATGAGATGTAGGCGTCGGTGTCTCGGGCACAAGCGAGGTCGCATCAGCACTGGTTGGCGTGAACTCAACGGTATCCAGCTCCTCTTCGCTCGACCCTGCATCATCGTCGTCCTCATACGGCAGATAATGATCCGGCGTGGATTGTCTTCGAACGCAGTATATGCTAGCTGAGCAACCCGAAATGGTATTTGACCACAAACTCGACAGTCTTGGTGTATTGTGTTACGCTGTCGCTGTACACGGCTTCATACACACCACCACATGCGAAAATCCACGTAATCAGGTGTCACTGTAGTGGTATATAGTATCTAGCTGTACTTTGGCCGATTTTCATTCTCGCCGCTGCTCATAGTCGCAAGCAATCCGGATGTGGGTAGCAGGGTAGAAAATCCTCACCAAAAAATGTGTATGGGCCCTGGTGTAAATTCGGGGCATGTACCGCGCATGTCAATGTTGTAGCGAGCAGGCCCGACAATCGCTCTTAGTCTTGACCAGTTCGATGCTGAGCCTGTAATCGGCATTGGCCATCACGCCAAAAGGGTAAAGTGTTGTCCAAACAATACTAGATTTCGATGCTGCCTCAGTTTCCTCATCCCCGCTTGTGACCCGCTCATTTGTATTGTGAGGAGGCGCTAAGGTCTCAAGCTCCGACTCCAAGGTATGTACACCACATAGCCTATTTAAATATTTTGGTGCGAGAATCTCTGGGCTGACGATATTGCATGAAGGAGCTCATCGAGCTGGCATTTGTTTGGCAGCAAAGCAGAAGATCCCTTTGATTTCCTCAAAAACTGACACGTCAACTATATTAAAAAGCCGGCCCTTACACATGCTGCCACGTCCACACCTCACATGTGCCTGCCCATCAGCATGTTACAGCAAACATAAGTAGCATGAACTACGTGTGGTACAGGACTCCTGTTTGCAAGTACCTTATCTAGATGGCCATCTCTTGCGCCTGGCACACAATAATAATGCTCGGGAGCGCAGCAATCTCACGAGCCAATGTAGCTCTAGGATCGCTGGAGAATTACAATCCTGACATGAGAGATGATGAGATCACTAATCTCGCATCATTGCTCGTACAGCTGTGCTATGGCGGCTGGCTCGGACCATGAGGACCGCTCCGGCTTGGACCAGTTCGGCTCGGTCTGACAGGTCGCACATGCTCTCGCGGGGCTTGTAGCACAATATATGAGCAGCCAGCTCGCAGCGTCGCTTATGTCGGCTTTTCCAGGATTATTTTATAAGCAATGAGAATAGCTGTACTTCCATTCGGAAACACCTCGGCAAAGAGCCTTGTACAGAGACACAATCAAGACACAGCACTACAGCAGTGAAAAATAAGGTGAGCCCACTATTCTCAAAAGCATTGGATAGTTTGCATTCTCTTAATAAGATGCAGTGCTTATTCTAGTTGCCAGCGTATTCAGTACATAAACAATGGCAACAATGGCATGGTGGTGGCACAAAAGCCACTTAAACACTATGATATTTGGAATGTATACAGCTCCACTGCTGTAGGGCTCAGGGGCTTAGGGGCTCAGGGCTCCGTTCGTCGAAGCGACCTAAAATGGCCCTAGCATCCCCATCTGTGAAAAGCTACAATATAATATCAAATACGCTTCTTCTTCTTTGCAGCTCCAGGTATATCATGCTCGCCAAGACTCTCGCCATCACTTTCCTTGCTGCTGTTGCATCGGCCCAAAAAGTCAGTGACCTATGCAAGCCCGGTAATGATAAATGCCTGGGACTCTTCTCTGGATTGAGGTGTACCGATGGACGGTATGAGGAACTTATTTGCGGGCATTATAAATCCTGCATAGCTAATAACGGCAAGGCTGACTGTGACTATGTAATTGATCAGTGATCCAAAAGCTTGCAGAGACATTGAGAGTTGCTTCTGAGGTGGTAGTATTCAATACTCAGTCACTGCCTTACCATACAGCAGGCCGATATATTAATACCACCCTCGCACAAGTCTTGTTGACAATATTTATGGTTGGTTGCTTCCAAATATATTCCCAAATGCATTTTGCGATGACCATTGAAGTGATATAACTTATAGCGAGATACCGAAATTTTGTATTGCCCACAACCTGCATACCCAGATCGATGGTCCACAGCTGTGGTACTGATACTGTGTGCATAGTAGGCTAATCGACAACATATGACCGTGTGAATAGCAAGTGTCGCTAAGCAACTGTTGGTAGGGCTACATTGTTAGAATCCAAGAAAACTGAGCAAAAGAAGGTGATAGCGTAGCGCTATGATCCCTGCTTATATGTGTTGTACGACTCTTGTCAATATCACCACATAGTTTGGGTGTCAATATCAGCTGTATATCTAAAGCCATTGTCTTCACTTGATAATTACTTTACGTTTTAAGAAGCAGTGTAGATAGCGATCATTTGGATAAGAACGCCTGCAGGCAGGAGTCCTGCTCTACACGTAATTCATACTAAGTGCTTGAACTCTAGACACAGGCTAGTCAGTGGCCAATGTGCCCTTGTGCCTAACCTGTATCGATATAACTCCGAGAACGGGTGGTCTTTGGAGCTAACTGTGGTTCTAGGATCGCCACAAGACTGCAGTCCACTATTCACTATACTCGAAGATTCATATACTCGGACAGTATCGCAATAATGGCTGCCCAATGAGCATATATGTCTGATAACAAGACCGCAGCCGGTATTGTCCAACAACAGAAGCACGAATGCCTAGACATTTCCTAAAACATCTTTCTTCTATAGCCTGTGTTTTTATACCACTGCAAAAAAGTTCCAGTCAACTTTATTGAGAGATCTAGTTTGCTAAAAGGTACAGTTACCGAATAATATTGATCGCTCGTAATCGTCAAATACTCCAAGCACAGCCTCTGCTTGTAATTGGGTGGGGTTTGTGATAAATTGGAGTGTGACATTTATACCTGGTGTTTGGCCCTCATCAAAAACAGCATCAAGTGCCTTTTTTTGTTCACGGGTAAGACTGCTGGGGTCAACCTGGACGATTCTACTCTCAATATAACCATAGTTGGATGCCCATATTTCCTTCACGCAAATGTACTGCTCGCGGGTTAGCTTAAACACTGCCGAAAGAGCAATGCCAGCGAGTCCAAGATTCAGACCAACAAATGATAGTGAAGGTAGTTTCATTTTAAAAGCTGAGCAAAAAAAATGCAAAGTTTCGGATCCCTGGTCAGAATAGTAATTATTTATAGGAGCTTGACTCAGGAATCCTTGTCAATATGCTCGAATATGTTGCAAAGCCCCGTTTGGAATATCAGTGAAGGATATACTAGGAAATTACAGTACTGTTTATTCCATAGGAATGACTTTGCTTCGTTTATTTCAAACCCTTAACAATGGTTGCGTTGTATATACGCCACAAGGGCCAGGCAATTGTTAAATTCCCAATATTGTGTGGGTAGCTGTATATGGCGTATTGCTGGTACGTTTATTTGGTGTGTAAATTAAGAAATATTTAAGGGGTATGTTTTGCATTGAAGGGAAGTAAAAAAAGGGAAAGGGTGTGCTATGCGGCCGCGTTTGTGCGCCATTATATCTAGCTGGCGAAACTAATATTAAAACGGACTACAGCTCACGATTAGTCATACGGCATACGTTTTTACATGGCACCCTGCACAGCGCATCAAAGGCTGGTAGGCATTTTCACTGAGCAGGCTGCAGTATAGCTCTCGCCGACGCCCGATTTGCCATCACCTGAGTCAACTGCTATGCTAATATCAGGTATGGCATCCTCACACAGGCAACAGTATTATCCTTGCATAAATCAATAGAGTCGGCAAGCAACTTCATAAATCAGAAACAGTTTACGTAGAACGATTTAGCTTAGAGGTGAAATCTGTATAATAAATGTAAAATCACTATTTCTGAATGTTGGTATGATCTTGCGAGCTGAGGTAGCCAGAAATAAAGTTAGTATTTGAGTCGAAAACGTCATTAGCCTGGTTAGCGCTGATATTGTTGGTATACATAGTGTTCTCGTTGAAGTTGGCATGGTTGAGGGCACTGTTAATATTGTTATTAAACACACTTACAAATGGAAAGTCTCAACCCCAGCCCCAGCCCTAACTCTAGCTGTATTGACGATGAATAAACTCGGACTCAGATGCAGGCACAGCATTGCTTGACAGTGCAATTGAAGCCAGAGCGATGAGAGCAAAAGTTGAGGTACAGGCGCTGGCTATAGTAAACAGAAGATAAATTTTAAGATAGGTGTTGAAACAAATTGATGCTGATACCAATTTTCGACATGTCAAGCGACATACGTCTGCTCAAACAGCTTGCTCACGTTGCCTGTTGTTCTATGCACCAAACAAGTGGATCCATTTTTGCTAGATGCAGGAACGCTATTCATCGAGTTGGTAGCAGTCTTGGTTGGAGTCTAGAGGCACCTTCCAGACAGCAACGAAGAGACACTTGCTCATGGCGTTGGTCCAGAGTATCAGTATTGCTCTTCTGTGAGGATCTACTTTATATCGCACTTCATTCTAGTGGAGACCCTATTTATTAACCCCGTCTGCACACCAAGCAAGCCTACCTTTCCTAGCTGGTGTAGAAGAATATGCACAAGTCCGTTGTCGCTGTATTATCAAGAGAAATGATGGTAGAGTGTATAGCTAGACGTTGGTGCTAGAATCTACTTGCAATGCTACGAAATTCAAAAGCAGACATTAATCAGAAGGAGAATCCACTTGATGTAGCGAGCTGTTTCTATCCTCTTCGTTTTCAAAAGTCTCAGACTCTGAAATATAGCTATTCTTAGCTTTCTCTGCCTCATACTCGGCCATTTCGATGATGTGCTTGGCTTTCTCTCTCTCGAATCGTACCTTATCTTCCTCATAATGCTTGATGTATGGCCTCTTTTCGTCGTCTGTCAAGCCACACCACTCAGAACCTAAGAGCCTGCCAATCTCGCCAAAGCGAGCGTTAGGGTTCTCTTTGCGGAGACGGTCGCGGTTAGCTAGAGCATAGAACATATATGCAGATAGAGGACGCTTGGGACCTTTTGGTCCCATTAGACTAAATTCATAGTGTCTTGCGGCCTGTTTGACAGATTCACCAGACTTGTTCATGGCTGCAGCAGAGGAAGACATCTGAAAAGAACGATAGACTGCTTGGGGTGCGCTGAAGAATAAATTGCCAATAGATAGTTGTGGATGAGTGGAGGAGGGGGTCGACACAGCCCAGCTTTATATCCAACGAAAGGCAGCAGAGAAACTGTGCATGGCTGCGCAATTTTCCATGGAGAGCGTGAAATCAAGCCGAGCAGTGGATTTACAGCCTGTTCCCAACAAGCGTGGGGCAGCCAATCATTTGTATATTTATTGGTAGCTTTCTTGGTATACCATCACCTTCCCTTTAGCATGCGCTCCTTGCAAACTGTCAGGCATAGTGGTTAACCTAGCCAGTGTCATCTGAGATAATGTGTTGGCACGTCAGACAACATCGATATTTGAACATACCGCATTGTTCTGTCTCCAGGGGGTGGTTATTGGTAAGAAGTGGCCCAGAGACATGTTTTCAACAATGGCAGTTTTGGGCTATACAAACTACATGAACTTGGTGAACATCTGTTGGCTCTAGACTGGCAGCAGCAACCGTGTACAGCCCATGTGTGAATCCAAGCATTGCTTTGATACTTGATCTCACGTGCCTCATATCAGCGCACCAATCGGAGTCCAGATCGCTGACTATCGAGAGTTGCTGTGATGACACGCTTGCTTGTGTACGCGTTCTGGGTAATGTTCGTGTCGAAAATTTTTTTAACACAATCCCTGTTCTCTTCAATTGAGCTACCCAATTCTCTATTTTCTGGCACCACTTGTACTGTTCAATCTTTCCTACTCCGACAACTGGGGTATGGTTAAAATGCGCGAGCCACGGGTCCGCGAACATTCAGACTCTGAGGACGTGGTCGTCAAAGCAAGTATCGGCCTTTTGTTTCTGCTGGCTGCGCAAAAAGTGCAAATGCATTCGGCATTCTAGGTAAACTGGGGCACCCTACTAATACTGACCTCTGGCTGTAGTCAAAGAAAGCGAAGGCGACGCACTCCAGAACGCTTGACAATGGAACCTGGGGTGACCACACAGGTGTGGTTCGCACGCGCGGAGTCCAGCAAAGGAACAGCGCACAGGGCATTGTGCCGGATATTGGCATTGTCGAGTGTGTCGAGTTGGTGGACTTTATGTGCCACGAGCACGTCAAAGTCAACCTGTGTCCCAAGGTGAACTTCATCACTGGCCAGAATGGCAGCGGCAAGAGTGCAATTCTGACCGCGCTGATTATTGCGCTGGGCGGGAAGGCGACCCTGACTAATCGCGCATCGAACCTAAAGGGTTTCATTCGTGAGGGCCAAGGCAAGGCGACAGTGCGGGTGCAGCTGCGCAATTGTGGTCCCGAGGCGTACCATCCGGAGCTGTTTGGTGCGTCGATTCTAGTGGAGCGGGTGCTGAGCAGCAGCGACTCGGGGTCGGCTTCACAGTTCAAGATCAAAAACGGCGAGAGCGGGGCAGTGGTGTCGCGCAAGAAGGAGGACTTGGTGGCCATTATCGACCACATGGCGATTCAGATCGATAACCCGATCAACATTCTGTCACAGGACGCAGCGCGCGAGTTCCTAGCCAGCACCAGTCCCGACAAGATGTACCATTTCTTCCTCAAAGGCACGCAGCTGATGCAGCTGAGCGACGACTTGGAGGCTGTGTGCAAGGCGATTACCCGGGCACAGGCCAGCATCGACCGCAAGAAGGAAGTGCTTCCGGAGATGAAGGCCGAGCGGCAGCGGTGGAAGCAGCATTACGACGACATGAAACAGGCACGCAACCTCTCTGAGCAAGTTACAGACCTCAGCAAGCAGATGGCGTGGGCGATTGTTGAGGAGGCGGAGAAGGAGGCAAGTGGAATCGAAGAGACGTTGCAGGTACATCAGCGAAAGATTGAGAAAATTGACGAAAAGGTCGCTGAAGAGAGTGCACGGATGGAGGAGATTCAGAGCAAGTCCAAGGAGCTGGCGGAGAAGGCAGACCGAGAGCTGGCGCAGCTGGAGCCATTACAAGCCGAACGCAGCGTCCCGTATCATGAGCTCAGCGAGATCAACGCTGCACTCCGCGAGTTTAAGCAGACAGAAGATGAGATGAACTCGGTTGCGCGCTCTACCCGACAGCGCCGCGACGCCATTGCCAAGGAGCTCGAGGCAGAGCGGGCACGGCTGCAGGGCGATGACAGGACAGGCCGCATCGCCATACAGAAGCAGGTCGGCACCAAGGAGGAGCAGATCAAGGCCGAGGAGGCCAAGGTCACGCAGTTGCAGGAGAAGCAGCTTGAGTACGAGAACAAATCGGCAGGGTTGCGCGAAAGCAAGAGTGCGCGGTACCGTGACGTTGACAAGCACACAGTTGCGGTAACCAAGTGCAGGAATGCGCTGGACAGCCTGGAGAAGCAGACCACCAACCATATGAATGCGTTTGGGAGGGGCGTGCCGGAAGTACTGGATCTAGTTGACCGGGCACAGTGGCGCGGTATGAAGCCAGTTGGGCCGCTGGGCAAGTTCCTGAAGCTGCGCGACTCCAAGTGGTCCCGGGTCATCGAGAGCTTGCTGGACAAAGTTCTGAATGCGTTCCTGGTTGAGTCGCATGCAGACCGACAAACTCTGGACGCCATTATGCGTCGGTGCGGGTGCCAGTCACGCATAATTATTTGCAACACCGAGCTGTTTGATTATTCGCATGGCGAGCCCGATCAGCGGTTTACAACTGTTCTGCGTGCACTGGATGTCAGCAACGAAGTGGTGAAGCGGCAGCTGATTAACCTGAACCGCATCGAGCAAGTGATTCTGGTCGAGCAGCGCGCGATGGGTGACAAGATCATGCAATCGAACAGGGGGGGATTCCCACGCAACGTGATAGCGTGTCTGACGGCCGAAGGGTACAGCGTGGGCACGCGGTCCGGGGGTCTGTCAACGCAGGCAATGCGAATGGTGCCGCAGTCCGGCCGCCTGGGTGAAGATGTGGCCCGGATGATTGAGCGCGAGAAGAAGCAGCTGGCGCAGCACAACGGAGAGCTGAACAAGGCGCAGCGTGCGCTGCAGCAGGTTGAGCGCGAGCAGGAGGGGCTCAAAACGAAGCACATGGATGGCAACAGTGCGATCCGACTGGCGCGCAGCCATGTAAACAAGCTGCAGGCCGAGATCCAGCAGCTGCGCGACCAGCTACTGAGCGATGAGCCAGCCAAGATCTCAGCGCTGGAAACCGAGCACGGGCACCTGACACAGCAGCTAGAGTCGATCAAGAGCCAGTTCCGCGACCTCTTTGCGCAGCAGCAGGCGAAAAAGGAGGAGATGGAACAGATTGAGAGCAACATTGCGCTGGTGGATGCCAAGATTGCGCGTACCAGAGAGCATGCGGCGCAGCTGCGGCAAGAGGCTGACGACATGGCGTCGGAGCGGCAAAAGCACATCAACAACACTGATTACTGGAACGCCAAGCGTGTTAGCCTGCAAGAGAAGGCCGCAGCACTGGAGCGGCAGCACGCCGATGCCAAGGCAGTGGTCCAGGAGCAGCAGGTGCAGGCGAGACGGGTCAGCGAGGAGCGCGTGCGCGTCAAGCACCCGGCGGCGACACTGGACCGCATGATCAGTGAGTGCAAGGCACGGCTGGACGAGATCGAAAAGTCCAGCCGCATGTCGCTGGACCAGGTGGCCGAGAAAGCCGACCTCCACATCACGGCGTATGCCAAGGCCAAGGAGGAAGTGCGCAGCATCAGCAAACTCGTGGCTGTGTTGAAGACAGCGCACCAGCAAAGGCTGCAAAAGTGGATCCAGTTCCGCGACTCGATGACGGTGCGCACCAAGATGCAGTTCACGCAGCACCTGTATCAGCGCGGATACATGGGCAAGCTCGAGTTTGACCACGCCAATCGCACACTGGTGCCCAAGGTGCAGACAGACCAGGATCTGGTCAGCGGGCACAACTCGAGGAACAGCCAGCCACAGAACGGCGAGGGATTCCAGCGAAAGGACACCAAGTCGCTGTCGGGCGGCGAAAAGTCGTTCACAACCATCTGCCTGCTGCTGTCGCTGTGGGAGGCCATGAGCTGTCCGGTCCGGGCGCTGGACGAGTTTGATGTGTTTATGGATGCAGCCAACAGAGCCATCGCCATGCGGATGATGGTTGACAGCGCAAAGTCCAGCAGCACAACGCAGTTTATCCTGATCACCCCGCAGGACATGAACGTCAAGCCCGACGCCGATGTGGCAATCTTCAGGCTTAGCCAGCCGCGGCGGGCTCCGGCTGCGCGGTAGCCGATATCTAGATTTACGTTAATTTATCACCTGTTCAGATCACATGCCTGCTTGGTGCTGATAATGGCTCGGTTTTTCACCTGCTTCATTTTGAAATCGCCTGTGCATTTGCTTTTTCAGTCAGTAACATTCATTTTCCGACCCAATTCAACTTCGCTTTAGTCAAAATGGAGAGTGCGTTCGCGAGGCTGTACCGCACATCGAAGCTGGCGAGCTTTGACCCGAAGATCAAGCAGGTGTACACAACGTTCTCGGAGGCAGCAACGCACGGCGACTGGGGCCTGAAGCGCACGATGCCGTCCAAGGTGCACACGCGTTTGGTGACGATCGGGTCTCTGGATACCAAGGAGCAGATCACACCGTTTGAGAGCGCGAACCAGCAGGTGATGATGGTGAACGCGTGGAAGGAGAACTTCCCCGAGTCGCGGTCGCCGCGCTCGGCGCCAGCCAGCAACAGCATGTTCTCGGCAACGCTGAGCCGGTTCGACGGCGAGCAGGCAGAGGAGGCGGATGCCAAGAGCTCAGGGCCAGTGCGTAACATCGGCCTGATGACACGGAAGCAGTGGGAGGAGTTTTTGGACGAGGCGCGGGCGCGGCGCGGCGAGTGGAAGCAGGCAGTGAAGGACGGCAAGGTTGTAGTGGAGGAGGCGCTGTCGTTTATGAATGCGACCAACATGCGGAACACGTCCGAGGACGGCATCCACAACTCGCCGACCTACCACGACTACGTGCCAGCGAGTGAGGAGCTGCAGGTGCAGGGCCGTGTGCTGAAC